CTCCGCGCTTTCGTCGCCATCAGATCGAGGGGTAGGCGAAATGGTTCGCACAGGTAGATAGCATGGCCAGCCGTCATCGTCAGGATCGGCGCCACTAGGCCCGCTTATAGGGTCAGATCCAGTGGCGCTCGCAGCCATTATTATGTTATGATATTAAAAATCACAAAGGAATACCAGTCAGTATAAGCACTTTAATGCTGTGCTCAAGGCAGCAGAAAAGTAAGCTATGTTTGTAAAAGCAAACTTCTTTGCTTGAAGGTGACCTTAGCCAAAAACTAATTACTAATCAAAAACAGGCTCCACCTCTATCACTCCGATCACGCGTATAATGAAGGGTAATTCAATGTCAATGCGAAAGAGTACAGTTTATTATAAAAAAACTTTAAGTTATAAAAATGATAGTTACTAACAAATACAAATAAAATCATAGTCTCTACAAAGAACAAATCCTAATACCACACCCAAAATAAGTAAAACAACATAACAATGTTATGCTAAATAAGTTTATAGAAATAAAATAAGATAGTAATAATATAGGGTTGCAAAAAGTATGTACTTTAAAATCCGATGCCGTTACTGGTATCAATGCAATAAGTTGATGGCCATTTTTCTGAGAGCCGAACGTGAAGCTCATCCCCATCTTTAAACATTTGCTCGTAAACAGTGTCGCAATTCTTTAACTTCAGTCCATTACACGTGAATACGGCCTCGTATTTGCAGTACTCAATATGATTAACAATATGGTTTATTATCCCGGCCATGTGCTGATCACGGGCCACTTTCAAAGACCACTTAAACATGAGTTCGTGGGCAGTCTCGCCTACGATTATTAGTTCCACAGCGTCTCCAAATGTAGTCATAGGTTCGAGCGGCTTAATTGTAGTTGGATTCCATGATACAGAGGTATCTAACTCAGTAGTTTGACTGTCCGGCTCTTGTATCTCATTTGATGCCATTCTTAGAACTGTTTAGTTGAACAGACATTAAGTAAAGAATAAATAAATCAATTAGTAAATGAAACTAACAATTAGCAACAAAAATCAAACAATTGCAATACATGTTAAAGTCGTACATACCAGTAGTAAATACTTGTTTAATAGTTATTTGATTTGATGATTTGAGTTGTTTATTACGATTAATAGCATACAATCGACCAGAAATTACAATAAAGGTAAACAAAATCAATTAATATGATAAAATACTTATCAACAATATGAGATACTTTGTTTTAGACGATGTTATTATGATAGTAAAGAATTACGAATGCATTATTACCTATAAATACAAATGATAATAATGTTTTATAACATATAAAAGTTAAAGGCTTTGTAAATAAACAAACCTGTATAAGTGACGTAAGCACTACTTCCCTTTCCTAGTTACCGTCTGGTCGAGAAGTTGTCCTCCTAATCAAAAAAGCTGCTTTAATAATGAATACAAAAAGTGTTTAGTTTTGAAAAATAAAGCGTTTTCGCATTCAATGGGAAAACGCATACAAATAGCATTAAAAATCCTATGCATTGAAAGTAATGGGAAATACCAGTTTCAATGTGATTTGCTATATGACGTTTAGATAGTGTTTCATTGAATAAGCGCCTAAGGGGAATACCACAACAACTGCAGTAATAAAATAAAAACAAAACAATACTTGTTTTGAAAATGCAATACATGGTGTCTATGGGAGAGTGTATTTAGGTTATACTTGTTAAGAAGTGGGTTTTTTTTGTATAAATGTGATGTCACTTTGACAACAAAATGGTAGCAAATTACTGCATACTAACCAGTTTACCATTGAAACCCATGTATTATCATATTATGCTTTAATGTGCTTAACTCTCCAAACTAAACACATTTAGTTTACAATAATAATACACTATAAGTACATATAAAAGCAAAGGTGTCCTCAAAAGTTGGCCTCGCGTTTAACTAAATTGTATTTAATCAATTCGGTAAACATTTTGGTTCGGTTAACTATCAATATTATACTCAAAATTTCCAAAATTTTTTTGTGCATTATAATCATATTGAGTATTAGTAATAAATAATTAATAGATAATTGTTGGCCCACATAAGTAAGTTTTGATTATTATTTACAAACTATGATTTGTTTTACTGAAATTAGTTAATTAAAAGAATGACCCTCACGAAGAATGCTCACCGATATTTAGAGAGTAGGCCCCGACAGAGAGGCCTTACTCCCGTGAGATGTGTTGGGTTGCCTTCGAAAAAAGGACCAAATGCTGGGATACCATTCATCCCAATACCTACTGTCGTTCTCACAAGAATAAACAACGCACTACCCGCCATTAATGTTAATGAAGTCGGTGCAGACGATACAGGCCCTGTCGACTCTAGCGTACCATGTTCATCTGGTTCCGGGCCCTGTATCGTTACACCAGATACTGCAGGCCCGACACCCACTGTCCCCCATACTTATGTGGACATTAATGGTGTGCGCAGAGTGCCTATAGGGAAAGGCAAGGCCAAAACTCGGCTCAGGAAGGCGACGATGCCTAAGAGGCGTAGTGGAATCACTGTTCCACGGGTCCCGCCGCCACCCGAGACTAACCCGAGACGCAAGAAGCGCAAAAACCGAGTCCTGAAGGACATTAAGGACCTCCAAAAGACTACCCACACTCTTATTAAGAAGTTGCCGTTCCAGAGACTTGTCCGTGAGATTGCCCCAGATTATATGGTAGGCGTACGCTTCCAATCAGCGGCGATCGGGGCCCTACAGGCCACTGTTGAGTCCTATATAACGGACTTGTTTACCGATGCGGGACTCCTAGCGAAACATGCGGGCCGGGTGACTGTAATGCCCAGAGACATACAGGTGGCCCGCCGTCTAAACACCAACCAAAACCTTTTGTATTAAGTCCCGGGTCTCGGGCCCTATGAGTTTTATTAATAAAAACTATTTGAACATGATTAAGTCTACCTTTATTGCCTCGGTAATATTGAGGCCCGATCGGGTCCGAAGTAGGTCAAATAATAGGTCGAAAAGTAGGTCAAAAATAGGCCAAAAGTAGACCAAAATAGACCAAAAATAGACATAAATAGGCCAAAAAGTAGGCCAAATGACCTTACCTAAAATTCGAACACAAGTTCAAAAAAGTAGGTGAGAAATTCTAGAAAA